CTGTCACCCCCCAACACTCTATCTACACCAGCTCTTTCATCCTGATAGCCAGGCTCTGGCTCACTTTGTCAAGACCCACCTGCAGCCCACCCCTGAGGACTTGCATTTCTTAAGAACTATTATTGCCTCTTGTAAAATCTGTCAAATGTCAGACCCTAACTCCACATACCACAGTCCCCCTTTTCCTACCCACCAGGCCAGAGGCTCCCTCCCTGGGACAGACTGGCAACTTGACTTTACCCACATGCCCACAGTCAGATGAGGGTCCTAGTGGACACATTCTCAGAATGGCTAGAGGCATTCCCAGTCACTACCAAAAGGGCTCAGATAGTCTCTGACATCCTTCTCTGAGAGATCATTCCCCAGTTTGGAATCCCTGCCTCCCTCCAGTCAGAAAATGGTCCTGAATTCGCCTCCCAGATTTCCCAAACCCTATCTGAAATCCTCAACATTCCTTGGCATTTTCATACCCCGTACCATCCCCCGTCCTCAGGAAAGATAGAATGAACTAACCACTCCTTAAAAAACACCCTTGCTTGTTGTCCTTTTATTTCATTGCCGCTGCCTTTAAACCACGGCTGTCTGAATCAGCAACTGCAACTCTGCCCTTACCAGCAGTGGTTAGGCCGCAAGGGCCGCTAACCAAAGGGAATTCTGTTCCCTCTGGCTCCGACTCTTGCAAAGCTATGAAGGTAACTTATCTAAACCTCTGTCCCTCTAAAGAACTCAAGACTCGAAGGTTAAGGTGGAATTCTGCTCTTCAGAGAGGCTGAATAGCAAGTAGCTCACCTCCTCTCCTTGCTCACATCCTCCACAAAGCCCTGGTGTGTCGCCTCGCCCCTCTTTATAAACTTCTCACCTGGCTCCGCCCTACCACTTCCTGTCAGCTAGTTGCTGCCGTGGTCTCCTGACTGCGTTAAATTTTATTTAATCAAACACATCTTTGCATCACTAAACAAACACTCCAGATAATAAGCAAAAGTAACACACCTTGAAATAATATTCTGCAACAAGATGGTGATGCTGCTGTGATTGATGATGGGAAAGGACCAGGTGCTTTAAGGTCTGCTTATGTGAAGATAGGAAAGCCTAAGTGGTGATAAGGAGAAAGTTATCTGAGATGCAGAAAAGAATGGAGCATGTTCCAGACTTCTTTCTCTCGATACGCTACTGTTGCATTAAGATTCCAACAGTTCATAGCCTTAACATTAATGGATAGAATTTTGATAAGCTATTAATCTAGCTTTGGCAGAGTACAAACCACTATACTAAACTACTATATTATCTCATCCACAGGCTCAGGATTTTAAATCCCCTTTGGTTGCTTTCTAATGACTCAAAGGCATGAGTATACTGCCTTTTCTACAATGTGAATTTCAGTAGAGATTATAAATAGTGGGAATGCCAATGTGTCTAAAACTTATCTTTTTGCAAACTCAAAAAATTCTTATAAGCTCCAGGGAGTCAACTTGGATCTACCTAGAACAGGTCAGATGCCCTCCAGATAAGTTCTCTCACTTTTCCCTGGTCTTGGGGGCTCTCCTCCCTCAATTACCAGGAGCTAAGAAAAAAAAAGTTTTCCCCTAAACTTAACTTTTATCTTCTGCCCTGCCAGCATCTTGCCAGGTCCAAGTGGTACTGGACGGCTTCACAGAGCCTGGACAGCAATGAAACCACCAGCTAACCCAGGATGCTACCTCAGCACCCCAGCTTTCTCAGGTTCCCCAAAGATGACCAATATCCCCCAGGTCAGCAGGAAGCAGTCTCGAAAACTCGGCGCCCTCATTCCCACCTCACCCGCTACCGGTTTCTAACTCCTCACCTTTTTGTAACAAACAAAAGGGAGAAATGTTAGCATTCAGACAGTTACACTGGCCTGCTCAGGGTCCTGACGGACCACATCGACTACAGCCACTATGTCCCTATGCAGTCCCCATGCGCATGCACTACACCCCCTTAAAAAGCAAGCTCCACCCCCCCCTTCCTCCACTGCTTCTCCCCAGAGGACTGTCTCTGGGCCCTTTCCTTCCCTTCCCCCAATAAACCTCCCAAGTGAGTTCTGTTGCATGGTGTGACTTCTCTCTCCCACCGTTAATTACAACACCTTCCCTGCCATAAAAGCTGAGAGTCCCTCTCAGAAGAGCAGAGTCATGGTGTAAATAAGATGCTCAGTGAGGCTGAGTTGCAGAGACTCTGGAGACCAGACCAGCTGTCTGCAAGAAGCCAGCGGAGCTGCCTGGCAGAGGTGTAGACCAACTGAGGCATCTGGGAAGGACACTCTGCAACCTGCTGAGCTGCCTGCAGGCTATGTAGGGATTCCCAGCTTTGTGAGCTGTCACCTGTGCTGGGTGGGCTTCGGTGATGCAGCTGTGTATGAGGCATGACTGCTCCTCTAAGTAGGCCCTCATCCACATTCCTGTAAGTAACCCCAATAAAGCTCATTGGTGAACCAAGCTGGACTTTGGTGGTGTTTGTACTCTGGTCTGCAGTGAGCTTCCTATCTGGGATGAGTAGGTGAGTGTGATGTGTCTCCCCAGGAAATGCTTTGTCACAATAGCCCCAGAGTGTCTAAACATGAATCTGACTGGTTCTGTAAAATCGTCAGATAATGATGCCTTCTTGGGAATCTGTTCTAGGTCAAGGACCTGATCATCTCTGACATACTTAGGTACCTGAAGTGCCTTTTAAGTTCAGAGGGCTTTCACCTACATTCCCTTTCACTTTATCCTCACAACTCTAAGTAAGCAGGTGTCATAAAAGGTAAAAATAGTTTAGAAAGCATCTTTTACTTTTACTTATGAGTAGATCCTCCAGAAATTCACAATTCAGAATCCATTTATGGGGTCAACTAAAACTATTTAAGGACATGCCAATCTCAAGAGGATAAAACAGGAAGTAGAAATGACCTAGGTAGCAGGACTCACCAGCACAACTGAACAGCCTTCTTCTTTACAAGAATTTATAATGGATTGCACTAATGAATAGGTTCTGCAAGGATGCTTGTTCAATGGCTCTTCATTGGAAGAACATTATCTTATTTGCATATATGATAATCACCCTTAACTGGACCCTCCACAGGCAACAGACAAATTAAAATTTGTTATTAAATTCTCATGTTGGTGAATCGTAACTCTTATTAATCTTATCAATAAAAACCAGGAGTCAAATATTGGGGTAAGAACCTGGAAGATCAGAGAACAGGCAGCAGCCACAGTCGCTTCCTACCTCTTCCGTTCCTCAGTCCCAAAGGCCAAGATCCTCTCTCCAGCCCGCCTTACTACTTCCTGTCATTCTCTGTCTCCAGACCTCTGTGGTCAACTCTGGCCAGCTAGTGGCTGCTTCCCTGCTTCTCTGACTCCAAGCAAGCTTTATTTGTCAGAACCCAATCAAAATGTCATGCGACATGTTGGCATCCATCCTTTGGTATGGCTTCACTCCTCCAGGGCAGTAACTGAGAGTCAACATGTGCTCTGCTTTTGCCTCCATTATCACAGACCTCCTTATTAACACACACGCACGCACGCACGCACGCGCGCGCGCGCGCGCATATACACACACACACACACACACACACACACACACGCACACACACACTATTGCTTTATGTAAATTCTGACTTTCTAGACGTCTCATTACCTTTTGTTACCACACTCCAATCCCATACCACCTAGCTAAAGCAGAGGTATAATGGGGGCCTATCTTTCCCATGTCTTTTTACTTATTTATGTATTATGATTCCCTGCTGCATTCAGGACTGAGTCCCACTATACTGGGAACAAAGCACTAAAAAAACCTCCCAGGATTCTGCAGACTCCCAGTTTGCAGAGGGCTTGGTATTTCAAAGGCCAGTCTTGGGTCTCTCCATTTTGATGACTAATGTTAAATTGTGTGACTTTCTACAGAAATATTTGGCTGTGCTTATTTACATAATTTCATCCCCTGGGCACACAGTAGGCACATATTTGTTGTACCGAATCCCTACAGGAAAGAGAAGACAGGATGAAGACGCCAAGATCATGATTCTTCGAATCACGAAGAGTGGATTGAGAATGGTAAACCATCACCTAACTTGTAGAAGGGTCTGTGCATTCCCTTTTAACTGTGAGCTATGCATCTGTTTAAAAAAAGAAAAGGATGAAAGGCACAATGAGGAAATCCCGGCACCCCCGAGAAAACACCATTATCCTCACCGCAGACGCGCACACACACACTTTCTTTTAATGCTCGTTACTTCACAGGAGAGCTGGTTAGGAATGCCTCCCCACCCACTTGCACAACTCTTGCAGGGAAAACAGAGGCTTTAGAATCTAAGGAGTACCACATCGCAGACTCGTATCTAACCCTTGGGAGCGGCAGTCGATGTTAGACCATACCCTAAGTGATACAATCAGATAACGGTTTTAAGAATGCTCTCCCCTCCCTTTCTCTTTTTAGACAGGGTCTTTGGTAACTCAGGCTGGCCTTGAACTCTGGATCTTCCCCACTCAGTGTTCCCAGCACCCAGCCTTACAAGTTTTTTCAAACAATGTTTAACACTAAGAGTCAGCATTGAAACTTCTTAGACCATCAGAAGTTGTTATTCTGCCTCTTTAAATAAAAAAAAAAAAGCCACCACTATGGATGTGACTGGCAAACACATTCTTACACATTTCTGCATTTTCTTAAACTTTATTTATATTAGGCTCCACCCTTACAGTTTCCTTCTAATTACCACAAGCTGGATACCTCTCTCAATCTCAGACTTAGCCCCCCAGACTGGAAAAGTGAGTAAGTGCTTGAGGGACGTTTCTGGGTTGTCCGGTTTTGTCCCTAAAAGATACCCAATTCACCCCACTTCAGAGTTGTGTGGCCGCAGGGAAGCCACCACAGGTCTGCTTTTCTGCCCTGGCTGTCAAGGTCACCGGTTCTATCGGCAAAACTCGACTCTGACTCTAGGTGGGTCACCAGCCGCCCCTTGCCCGGCACCTTCCCGGACCCGACTGCCAGGGCTCCCTGCTCACCTGACCACGTTGGGGTGCTCGAAGGTCTCCAGGTGCCTCAGCACCGCCACCTCGCGGATGGTGGAGAGCGGCATGCCCTCCTCGCTGGTCTGCACTCGCACGCGCTTGAGAGCCACGAAGCGGCCGCCGTTCTTCAGGTCGCGGGCCTTGAACACCTTCCCGTAGGCGCCCTCGCCGATCTCCGCCACGCACTCATACTGCTGGTCGGCGCGGCTCAGGCTGTCCTTCTCCATGCTGACTGGACGCTGCCGGCGCAGCACAGAGGGTCCGGGGTGTGCGCTCGCTGCCTGGACGCCTCCGGGACGCCGGGAGTCGGAGTCGCGGCCGCCGGGCTGGACAGAGCGACCTCCTCGCCCGCGGGCGAAAAGCCGGGCGCAGCCGCCGCGAAACTCCGCCTAGCCGAGCCGCTGCGCCGCCGCCGCTGGAGAGCGCCGATCCCTCCTCTTCCCCCTCCGCAGCGATTACATAGTCTGCCCACAATCTCTGCACCTAGGAGGAGGAGACGGGAGGACAAGGAGAAAGTGCGATCAGACAGCCCCGGAGACTTCCACCGGCTTCCACCGGCTCCCCTCCTCCTCCCCTCTCCTCGCCCCGGCCCTCCACCCGGCTGCCTAATCTTGCCCGGTTTCTCGGAGAAAAGCCAAGTTACTTTTTCTTGCCCAGCAGGGCTCGTGCAGTCTTCGCGAGGAGAGGTTGCAGGGGCCCCTCGGGGATGAGCGCCGCGCGGGACGCAGCGGGACGGGAGGGGGCGTGCCGAGCAGCCCAGAGTGTGCCGGGAGCGCGGGGGAGGGGAGGCGCCGGGCGCGTCAATGTCACGGCTCAATATTTATACCTATACCGTTGTTCTCGGCTGCCCTCCCCGGCTCCGGGGGCCTGGACGTGCGGGGGACGGGGCGTCTTGGGGGCGTTCGGAAGCTGGTGTGAAGGCGCCGGGGGCTTCACCCGTGTGGGGCCCGCAGAATGGGGTTGGGGCTCTCGGGACCCTGTAACCCGATGCTGGGAGTACGCGAGTAGGGGTGGTCAGACATCTGCTCGGAAATTGCTTCCTTTCTTTCTACTTTCAGTTTTTCTACCGAGAGACATTTAAAAGGGACTCGCACATACAAACGGTCTTCGGGGTACGGCAATCTTGGTGGGAGATAGAATTCTGCCTCCGACTCGGAGGACCTCCCTGGTGGAAACTCGGGGAGGACAGACCATCTGGTAGGAGAGGGCTGGGGCTACTAGGGGTGGGAGAGCGAGGGGCCCTGGAAGGGGAGGAGTGTCGTGCCCCCCACCCCCGCCCGAGATCACAAGGGTGTTGGGAAGGGAGGACCGTCACACTCTCGCTCGTCCCGTCCTGAAAGAGTAACTTCGGGACTTAGCTGACCGGGACTGGTCCTTAAGTTTTCAGCTGACTTCAACCCGTGCAACCGGGTTGAAGCGATCGCCCTTACGACGGTGGGGGTGGGGGATTAACGTAGGGCTCCCGGGTGTGGAGCGGGGCTGCCCTTGGGTTGCGACTGCAGAACCTCCGCTCCGGCGTCCTGAGCGCCTGGAGGTCGGTGGCTGAGAAGGTCGCTCGGCTCCCAGGCGGCTGGAGGCCGGGTCCCACGCGCGGCCGGGCGTCCCCCTCCCCGCTCAGTTATTAGGGATGACCGAGCGAGCCTTCCCGTCCCACGGCGGCCTCAGCCGAGGCTGGACCTTGGCCCACGACAGCCGCGTGTCCGGAACCCTCGGCGTGCGTTTACCTGCCCCCGCACCCCTCCTCCCCCGCTCGCCCTTCTGCCTGGAATTAAAGAACACATGGCGCGACCCCCACTGGGTGCCGGCCTAGCATCGCGCGGCCAAGGCAGAGACTCTCTCGGCTCCCTTGAGAGCTTTCCTGAAAAGCTGCGGAAAGGACCCCCAGACCTCGCCCGGGGGTCCGCGCCAGGTCGAGGGCCACACAGGTAGCGGGAGCCGCGGCCTCGGCGCCCGCCCTCCCCCTCCGGCCGCGTCCAGCCCAGGCTCCCGGAGGCGGCAGCCGTCCCACCCCCGCGGGCCTGCACCCCCCGGACCGGAGCGGCGGTGCCTAGCCCCATCCCCTCCTCCACTTTTTTGTTGTTGTTGTTGCTTTCCCACGCTGGCTGAATGTGACTTGACCCCATTTCAAAAAAGTTTGACATAGTGCTTCAACATTTCCGCATTCCTCCGCGACTACAAAGGCTGCAGCCGCCTCCTTCTGCTTTCTGTCTCTGCTCTCTGTCTTCACACTCAATGAAATCCTTCATGAGCCTCTGCCGAAGCCTTGCCAAACGCCGCAAGGGTCGCCACCAGCGCAGCGAGGGGAGGCCGCCCGCGGGACCGCGACTCGCGCGTGTGCGCATACGCAGATGCGCCCGCGCAGATACGCCCACGTGCACAGGGACGAGTGCGCCGCGGAGCTCCGGGCTGCTCTTGGCCAGGGCGTGCATTTGAACTGCAAAGCTTTAAATAAGAAAAGTAAACCTGGGCCAGGAAGCAAGCGTGCGTGCTCGCGGGGGCTTCAACCTCGGTGGGCTGCGTGCACTCCTCCGTGCATAACACGCCCGCGGGGTCGCCAGCAGGAAGCCTGCATGAACGTTCATTCCTTAGTGGGGAAGATGGGGCCCGTACCCACACCTCGGGAGGCTGCAGAGGGAACTTGCCCAGGGGAAATAAACGTGGGGCGCGGAAACACACTCTCAATCCCACCCAGACGGTGGCATTTTCAACCTTAAATGTGACTGTCCAAGTAGAGTCCGTTTGGAGAGGTTCCATGAGAAGTGAACGTATGGGTGTCTGTACGCACGAATCTATTCAAGCTGGCACAGGACCCTGGTTGTGGGGGTGTCCCCGGTGTGGGAGGTCCCTCTCGAGACCTCTAGCTCCCCCAGCTGACCCCCATAACCTACCCAGTCTCAGCTGGTAAGGGGTTAATCCAAGCGGATTCCGAGGGGCCACACAGCCCCCCACCCTCCTTACCCTCACCCACCCACGTCCTCGCCAGGGACCCCAGCCCCTCAGCCCACCCACGCGAGCCCGTGGCTCCTCACCTGCGGGCCAGGGGCGCCGGCCTCCTGCGAAGCTGGAGTGTCTGTCTGTCTGTCTGTCGGCTCCCGCACGTGCTCGCCGCGCGGAGCAGGTAACTGACTGCGGCCCCAGCGAGCAGCGCTCTGCGGGCAGGGGGTGGGCACTGCGGCGGAGGGCGGAGGGACGGCGGAGGGCGCCGCCCGCGGGGAGGCTGGGGAGGCTCGGGGCTCTGGCCGCGGCTGGGGGCCCGAGGCCAGGAGGCTGCGCGGCGGGGCGGGGACCTGCGAGCCTCGGGGGCCCCAGACCCACCCAGAGGCGAGTGTGCAAATTAAAGCCTTCCGGAGCAAGAGAGCGAGGCCCAGCCCGGGCTGTGCTCCCCAGCGATCGGCTCGGAACCGGGGGCCCGCAGGGCGGGGGAGAGTTAAATGAAAATTTCCGGTTCACACTGCAACTACTCGAGTGTGTGTGTGTGTTGGGGGGGTGTCTCGCGACTGAAATAAACTGTGTGAAAGGGACCGGGTGGGATGCGTCGTCGGGAGTGGCAGGGTTTCTGCACCCGAGGTCCCCCAGAGTTGGGGTTTTGACAGGGTGAGGCGGGGGTTATCAGTCGGATGAGAAAAACACAAAACAACTGTAATTATGAGGGGACCGTGGGGCGGTAGATAGCAACACTTTCCTACACGCAAAACTCGGGAGAAGCTTGGCAGGATGCCGTACAGAAAAGAAAATACTAATCGGTCCAAGCACTTTTCACTTTCAGCATGAGCTACATTTGTTTTGTTTTCTTTCACTTCCTTTCGGCCTCAAAAAGCCCTATCTATCTTTTCCTCTTGGACAGACGCTATGGTTTGGAAATTGCCAGGCACTCTTGTGGTTAACGATCTACTTGAAGGGGCTGGCGGGGTCACAATTATTAAGTGGTTAGAAACTGTTGAGGGTTCACTAAGGTATTTCTGGGGAGCTAAAAAGATTCAATTTCAGTATAAATAACAACTGTAAAGTAATAGACACACGCACACAAAAAGATGAGTGCTTAATTTAAATGCTTTATTGGGATTTTGAAATTTGAAACTTTGTAAGAATGTCTCCTTTACCTGAGAAAAATTGGATGCAGTTACTTCAGGTGAAAATGAGATTTTTGGAAGGTGGGGGGGAGAAAGGTCTTAAGACTTTCTACAAAGAGTAAAAAGAAAAAAATAGCTGTCTTTGGAAATAATTCGATGTTTTCCAAATTCTGTATCTGTAGAAGACTTGAAACTTTTAAAAAATTTAAGGCAAGAGAAAGTACAGGAGGGGGAATTTCTATAATTTGTAGAAATATCAAAACCAACAAAATTCTGTTTAAATTGTAAATATTACTTGTATGAATGTTTTGCTTTATACTAGACCATGTTACTAATTTCACAATAGATTCTTTTGCCTTTATAATTAATTCTGTTACAATGTGAAGCAAGGCTAAAGAAATAAAAGTTGCTGTAGAAAACTGCAAACAGTTTGCAGATGCATTGCAATAATTTTTCTTAAATAATAAAAATGAGTAATGATGTGCCTTTAAACTTAGAAAACACATTTTTGTGTTTGAGTACATCTTATAAAATAAAACCCAGTTTCTGAGCAAATTTTGTTTACAATTTTCAATATATCATATACTCAAAGTAAATTATTATATCTTATATTTATAAAAGTGTTGAATTACTCCCAATCACTGGGCTCTGAGCTGGAGATACAGATGGAACCTCTCCATTTTAATGGCTGCTCACACTTCTCAGTGCTTTTTAAAACAAGATTTATTTGCTGGTAGTTAATATGCTTATCCAAAAATAATAGTCAATAATTAGCTGCAGGAACAAGCACATGGTGTCATGAATATATTTAAGTAAATAATTTGTTAAAAAAAATAGTAAGTGGTAAGTGTCTTTTTGCAGAAAAGTGTTTATTTCTAGAATGGGTAGTATTTTTAATTATGACATTTGAAAACAACTGTTACTAACTAGATTAGAAATGTCATGATTTAGGTTACAAAATCACTTGAGCAATGTAAAAACAAACCCCCAAACCAATGGAACTCTAACTATACCAGGTTCTAACTCACTTGGAGTCCTCTTTTTTGTCTTTCCTGCTATAACTTATGTTTTGTGTTAATTTAGCATTATCCACTTTTCCTGGTTATGGTTTACATTAAGTACCAGCTGATTAGAAATTAAGATCCAAAGGAAAGTTACAATGGCTTGCATTGAAATAATAAAATATACGGTTGTTTTTGTTTATGGGTAACTTCCTCTGTGGGTAGCAGGCTACCATAACAACATTTGTGCAAAGTTTACAAACTGTGAACCAAAGTCCGACTCCTTTGC